GGGCCGCCGGCGCAGCGGCCGGGCCGTGCGTGCTCACGTGACAGGTCCGCGAGGCCCAGCTCGCGCAGTCGTCCGGGCGAGCGAAGATGGCGGCTGAGAGGGAACCTCCTCCTCTGGGGGACGGGAAGCCCACCGACTTTGAGGAGCTGGAGGACGGAGAGGACCTCTTCACCAGCACTGTCTCCACCTTAGAGGTGAGACCGCGTCGCTCTCGGTGCCGCGCTCTGTCTCTGCCGTGCGTCTTACCTTTAGGTGCTTTTCCCATGCCCGGACTGTTCCCTCCCCGCCCCCCGGTTTGCCGGGGCCAGGTCGGGGCGACACCTGTGACTGCGCCTCCACCGCCCTACCTGTCAGTGGGGTTGAGTTTCGTTTGGCCGGCGAGGCCTCCGCTGGACACCGCGCAGCGGGCCGGGGGCCGACGTCCTCTTAGCGGCCAGCCGGCTGAGAGCATCACAGCGCCCTGTCCCCGCTCAGCTGGCCTCCCTCGGTGTCACCTGCGCCTCTTGTTCCGGGTCTGGGAAGGTCTTGCCCTGAGTCTCAGTGAACCTCACTGCATTCCCCGGCGACCTCCGCAGTCCCGGTGGAGAGGCGCTAGCTTTTCCCTTCCCTGGGGAGGGTGTGCCCCTGAAAGGGGAGAGCGATGGAGTGATACAGCCTAGGCTGTGCAGGAAGCGCGAGGATGCGCGTGTCCCAGCGGTGGCCCTTCCTGCACCGCTCGTTCCCTGGGGAGGTGCTCGCTGGTGTAGACTGTTCCATGGAGAAATGCATTTGACCGGTGTTGTTGGTCTTCTCCAGTTCTGGACTTTTAAAGGGTCACAATGTTGATAAAATCCAAAGTTGAAAGGAGGGAGTACAGGAAACTGCGGTGTGTGTTTTTCTAAGTTACCAGGGGAGAAATAAAAGCTCCTCACCCCCTTTTCCTCTTTTCTCGCATGGTCAGCGATGTCTGAAGTTGAGTGTTCCTGTTTTTGTCAAAGGAAACTCCCTCTACGAGCCTGACAGCTTTGGGCCTCCCATATCTATCCAGTTCTTGTTCGAACTGCTTTGTACATGCTCCCCATAGCCCAGTTTTAAGGGGGTATTGTGTTGAAATGTAAGCATTTTAAATGTAAATGTAAGCAAATTTCCCAGCAGATTTCCCAGCTTATCTTGTACTTCCTCATAAGCTGCTTTTTAGTAAGTTTTCTTGTCTTGGTCAAACATGCACCGAATCAATTGGAAATTAAAACACCCATTATCTGAAATTGAGTACCTGACACTGGGAACTTCCGGGAACGGTTTTTAGCCCTGACCACATTTTGCTAAGTGCATGTGTGGGTTACTGGCCAAACTCCACTTCTCCTCAGGTTATGTACACTTCTGGGGCTAGGGACAATGCCTCCATGGTCTGTATGTTCACCATAAAATTTCGAACGTTTGCATGTAGAAAATAAATGTCTGCCAGATTGTTCAAACCCAGAATTTCCTAAGAACTAGTAAAAATTATCTTGCATAAAATATTACCTTTTGAAACTCTGTGTAGCTGCCTTAACATGTGTTAAAAGGTTAGTGTTCATGCAGGGTCCTAAAACCGGTGTTCTTGGGGGTTACAAAAGTTTTCCATCAGGAGATTCAAGACAAATTTGACTGACTAGAATACTATGAACACTAGGCATTCTATTTGGTGTTTATTAAAGTCTTTGAGAGTTTGGTAAAATCAACTATAATCTGTTTTTCTCATGTGGTAGAGACTTTTTTTTTTACATCATTCTTCATTTTGTGCATTTTTTCCATCTCAGTTGTAGTCCCCGTGGGCTTCCCATCACCAGTTCAGCCTTGTGCCATCACCACAGTCCAGTACACTCTTCCCACCAAAGTTCCCATTCCCCCTTTACCCCCATAAAATGGCAAAGACCTTATTTAAAAAAAAATGCTATTTATCTTTTTTCAATAAATGTCTACAGAAGCTTGATTATGAATAAATTAATCTCATTGCATTATGAAAATTGTAAATAAGTTGATTATCTAAACCCCTTGTTTCATAAACAGTTACAAGTTATTTTAAGAAGGTGCTACTATATTTGGAGATTTGTAAACTCAAACTTTTTTTCTTTTTAACCTATTTGAGCAAAAATGGTAGCAGTGTTTCTTAGTATACCATAAGTGCTTTAAAAGAATGTCCGTTTAAACTATGCTTCTCACACTTCGTTGTGCTAGAGAACCCATGGAATTCTTAAATGCGTGTGTATTCACCACACGGAATCTGCACGTTGATTGAGTGTTCTAGATCAGTGTTTTCCATATTTTATAACTGTAACCCAGGAATCTAGTTGCTAAAGTACATATTGATTCTATAGGGCTGTGATAAGCCCAGTATTCTGCATTTAACTTTCCTGATTTTGCTTCTGGTCCACAAAAAAACAATGATTTTTAAGGCCTCGGGTCATGCTGATGCAGATCACAGGCTTTTGACTAATTATAACCTAAGTTATAAATTGAAAGTATGACATAAATTAGTATCTTCATAAATTATAAAAATTAGTTTTTTTATTGTTTATACAAAGTTTTTTTTGTGGACATTTAGTAGAGCAGTAATTGAAATCCATTTAAGAGAAAACATATAGACAGCTTCAGTGACATAATTGAGCTTGTAATGACTGTACAACTTGGTATACGTGCACGCTTATGAGATCCTTTTAGCCCAAGTGCTTTCCTTTCAGAATTTAGAATAGTTACACCAAGTTGTAATCAGTAAATAAAAATGTTTAAAGCCTCTACTGTGTTTCTTTTGTGACAGTGAAACAAAGTGATGGGAGGCTGTCATAGGCACATGGAAATTAATGAAAAGGGGGGAAATTCAGGTAACATCTTTTTTGGTACCTGAGAAACACAATAGAAGCTTAAACATTTTTATCTCTGACTACAACTTTGTGTGACTATTCTAAATTCTGAAAGGAAAGCACTTGGGCTAAAAGGTACTCATAAGCAGGGGCTCTCCCTGGTGGCGCAACGGGTTAAAGCACCACATTATGAAGCTCGCTGAAGCCACTGCAACACAAGTTCCATCCCTGGCCAGGGAGCTGACCCACATGGCGCGGCAGATCTCTTCTGACCTGCCAGCTGCTCCCCTCAGCAGTGTACTTTATCAATCTGCCTGTTTTGCTCCCCACTCTGTCTCTGGTGAAGCCTCTCAGCCACCATACCTCTGGCCTGTTATCCCAGTTCTGTAAGTATAAATAAATAAATCTTTTTTTAAAGAAAAGGTACTCATAAGCATACTTTAAACTGTTTATAAATACTGCTTTTTTTCTTAAATGAGACAACCCTATGCTTAAAGATGTTTGCCCTTAAGCAGCATGGGGTAGGTAAGATAAGCACCTTTATATGCCTGCTTTTCTAAAGCTTTATCAAGGTATAATTCATATACTGTATAGTTCACCCATATACGTGAACAATTAAATGGTTTTTATTATATTCACAGATACATGCAAGTATCAGCAAAGTCGTACTACATTTTCAACACTTCAAAAAGAAACCCCGTGCCCTTTACTTCTCTGCCCTAAAACCCTTTAACCCCAGCAGTAAGCAACCACTAACTTACTTTCTTTATCTTACACACTTGCTTATTCTGGATTTTATATGAATGTAGTCATATAATTTGTGGTCTGTTGTTACTGAATTTCACTTAGCATAATGTCTTCATTCCTTTTTAAGCCCAAATAATATTCCATTGGCTGACTAGAGCACATTTTATTTACCTATTCATCAGTTGATGGGCATTTGGGCTGTTTTCGCTTTTTGTCTACTATGAATAATGCTGCTGTAAATATTCATGTACAGATAGAATTGCTTGGTTATACGATAACTGTGGTGTAATCATTTGAAGAACTTCCAAACTGGTTCCTCAAGCGGCAACATCATTTTTCATTCCCCCCAGTAGTATATAGATAACAGTTATCCACATCCACACCAATACTTGTTATTGTTCATTTTTTTGTTCTGTCTATTTTAAGTGGCTTTGATTGCATTTTCCTAATGACTAATAGTAGCACATCTTTTTATGTATATTGGTTGCTTATATTTTTTTAGTGAAATTTATTTTCAGTTTCTGCTCATTTATTAATTGGGTTTTCCTTTCACTCTTGATTTATACAAACTGTTTATATATTCCAGACACAAGTTCCTTGTCATGTATATATTTGTAAATGTTTTCTTACATTCTGTGGATTGTCTTTTTGATTTTCCATGTTGTCCTTGTGAGCTCGGTTTTTAAAATTTTTATGATGGCTAAGTGTTTTATTTTCACACTTTTATTTTCATGCCTAAAAATCTTTTGCCAAGACCAAGGTCATGAATTTTATACCTGTATTTTATAGTTGTGGCACTTTTAGGCCTTTCTTTCATTTTGAGTTCATTTTTGCATATGGATGTGATGAGATTTACTTCATTCTTTTGTATGTGGCACATCTGAATGTCTGCTGAAGTTAAGATTAGTGCCACAATTTCCCCAGCTCTGTCACATGATAGGATTTATAGAGCATTTTAAATGAAACTTCCAGATGGAAGGCTCACAGGTGTTAGAGTTCTTTTTCCACGATTTAACTCGGTTCTGAAAGAGTTCAGAAGATACCAGACTTGATTGACTTCCTTAATACTTGAATATTCAACTTTCTGCCATACTGTTTAGATAAGAGAAATGCAAACCCAGCAAAATACATGAAACCTTTGAGGACGGAAAATTGCCAGGGGAAAAGAAAACTCATGCAGATAGATAGATTACAATGATCTGAAAACCATTAGTACAGCAGATGCTCTGATAACATCATCTGTACCTTTTCCTTGTAATATTGATGGTGAAAATGGTCAAAATCAGTCTACCCAAAGCCATTGTCTCTGATGAAACTTGGTCATTCTTCCTATGTCTGCCGGGTTTTAATTCAGGTATTCAGATTTCCTTCCACACCCATGATGTGTATGTGATTTCATTGGCATCTGAGTTGTTCCATCTAAGTGTATGATGTGTGCATGAGAGTCCGCCCTGCTATCAAGGACTCCCGCCTCCGGGCAGTCCGGGGAGGCAGCCCTGAGCTGGAACAAGTGGGCTGGGAGTTGAATTGATGAACAAAAATTATTTTATAATATCGGAAATGTTTTGGGTCTTTATTTAGAAGTTTGGTGGTATTTTGAGACCATAAATATGCTAAAGATACATAAC